GAATGGATATTAATTCTTCTCGATTGGATATTTATTAATTTTAAGATATGAAAACAATATTTAGCAATGTAAAATTCACTTTACCTCACAACGCAAATGTAGGTTGGCTTTTCATTACAAAGTCCCAACGTGTATTTTGCTTACGCGCGAGATTGATTTCAAACTCTCGGCCAACTTTCTCGTAGAGTACCTACACGGAGCAACCGGAAACGTTACGTACTATGTTCTGATGGAGAGCACAGAGATGTTGTGCTATAATTGGTCGCCCTGGCTTATGACAGGCATAACCACGTCCCGATATGAACGTCCGACCACTAATCTGTTGTACGCTTGCTGTGTATCACGTGCAACGTCGTTAACACGACATTGCAATGCGTTGCAATATCGATAGTCAAGCATATATCCTTACGCATATTACGTGCTTGATTAAAGTACAATCTAGCTATATTAATCGTAATAATTATTGTGCCATTAATTCTCGTATTTTCTTCCCACTCGAGAAGCTCAATGTTTCTCTATAAATTGAGTTGATTTAAATATTTTTTCACAAGAAACTATTTTTTTTAATTAATTCAATTTCTCGTCAGATAAACGCATGTCAAAAAGAAGATGTAGATAGGTGTAGGTACACGTTTATCTTAATAACCATTGCTATACATATATCCTTGACAAATTTAAGAGGTAATGTGTACGCCATTCCTCAGGTCGTGGTACCGTCGCCCATGCGTCCTTACGGCACCCTGTAACTTTCGAACGACGTACTACGTGCGGTGCAATTTGCTGGCGCGCCGTGCTGTATAAGTAATCGTTTCTGCTGGCCTATCTAGCAACCACCCGGTTGTTTGGAACCCCCATCTCTCGTCACTGCCCTACTGGTGCACATACGCTAACTAAATATATATATATATATATATATATATATATATATATATATTGTGTATGTATATATGTATGCAGGGTGAGCCATTTTAAGCTATCTACCCCAATAACTTTTTTATTTTTGAATGTACAGCAAAATGTTTCAAATAAAAGTTGCTTGACTTCGAGAGGGACAGAAGATGGTGGCAAAAATTTGACCTTGGATAGTCATTTGAAGGTCACATAAAGGTTACCTTCAATTTCTTCAATGGAACCTACTATTTTTCATTGCATTTTCTTGTAGCTTATCTCGAGAGCTTTCCAAAACATTATAATTAAGTATCTTTTCGTTAAGTACTTTTTGAGTTATGAAGCTTGAAATCATTTCTTAATTTTACATAAATCATAAAATATTCATTTTTTGATTATCTTACCTTAATACTTTTATGTACAAAATAATGAGAGGAATCAATTGGTGTAAAGAAAACACATAGTTTCTAAGAAAAAATATGTAATTTGCAATTAACAATTCCATAAGAATCGAAAAATGAATATTTTATAAGATATTTTATGGTTTATGTAAAATTAAGAAATGATTTCAAGCCTCATAACTCAAAAAGAATTTCATGGAAAAATAATTTATTATAGTGTTTTGGAAAGCTCTCGAGATAAGCTACAAGAATATGCAATGAAAAATAGTAGGTTCCATTTAAGAAATTGAAAGTGACCTTTATGTGACCTTCAAATGACTATCCAAGGTCAAATTTTTGCCACCATCTTCTGTCCCCCTCGAAGTCAAGCAACTTTTATTTGAAACATTTTGTTGTACATTCAAAAATAAAAAAGTTATTAGAGTGGGTAACTTGGGCTAAAATGGCCCACCCTGTATATGTATATATGTATGTGTAAGAGGGAAGTTTCTCGCTTTAACGTTTGGCTCGCGCTATTGCGTCAATTTCTCTGTTTCGGTGAACTTCTACCTTCTACCTCCTCCTCTTCCGTACGAAATGTATGCGCGCACGCGTGTGTGTAAGTGTGCGTGCATACACGTGTTACGCCGACGCACGTGTTGGATGCAGCCAGCTAGGGAATGCGTCCGCGGAAGTACCGCATCGCGTTGTTGTTCGGCATATGGGAGAGCATGCGATCGCACTCTCGGACGACGGTACACGCTTCGCCAGCTGGCGAGTGTACCGGCTCGTAATACACCGGAGGAATGTACAACGGTGCCCCTCCATCCTTCCCCTTTTGCCCCCTCGCCTGCCCGATTCCCCCGCTGGCGCCCTGGTCGTACCATTTAGCTCCCCCGCGTTCTCCTTCCCCGATACGTCTGTACGCGCGGCCGAATCTGGTACCAGGCGAGGCACTCGTGGTATTTCCGCAAATTCGATGCTCTCCCGATGTCCCGAGGGGAGGGGTGGCGAGAGGTATGCGGGGGTTGGGTCGCACCGCGGGGCGATCTGCGGTGAAGCGTCCGTCTGGACGGTCGCAGCGCGGCTTCCTCCCCGGTGTGCTCGAGTATGGAGGACGACCGGCTAGCCGATACATTCTTAATTAACACCTCGAGTGTACAACTCGGCGGTGATTCTTTTTCTGTGTCGTCGATAACAGGGTACGCTCGAATGTAAAATTAGCGGAAATGATCATTTTTATAAAAGATGAAGGAGCAGATGAAGGGAGAGATGTATTTTGAATTTTCTGAAAAATATCGAGTCGCTCGTGCATACAAGGATGGTTTGAAAAGTCCGCGCAAAAATGAAAACTACTTAATTTTTCGGGATAATCTTTTTTACCTTTCGCCTTTTTTATTCTTCAACGTAGTCTCCTTTTAGGCTTATACACTTCGTTCAACGCTGCTCCAGTTTGTTGATTCCTTCCGAATAATAGGATTGGTCCAACTCTGCAAAATAGGCATTCATTTCCGCAATCACCTCGTTTGAATAAAATCTCCTTCTTTTTTGTCGTCGACAAGGGGTACGTTCGAATGTAAAATTAGCGGAAATGATCATTTTTATAAAAGATGAAGGAGCAGATGAAGGGAGAGATGTATTTTGAATTTTCTGAAAAATATCGAGTCGCTCGTGCATACGAGGGTGGTTTGAAAAGTCCGCGCAAAAATGAAAACTACTTAATTTTTCGGGATAATCTTTTTTACCTTTCGCCTTTTTTATTCTTCAACGTAGTCTCCTTTTAGGCTTATACACTTCGTTCAACGCTGCTCCAGTTTGTTGATTCCTTTCGAATAATAGGATTGGTCCAACTCTGCAAAATAGGCATTCATTTCCGCAATCACCTCGTTTGAATAAAATCTCCTTCTTTTTTGTCGTCGACAAGGGGTACGTTCGAATGTAAAATTAGCGGAAATGATCATTTTTATAAAAGATGAAGGAGCAGATGAAGGGAGAGATGTATTTTGAATTTTCTGAAAAATATCGAGTCGCTCGTGCATACGAGGGTGGTTTGAAAAGTCCGCGTAAAAATGAAAACTACTTAATTTTTCGGAATAACCTTTTTTACCTTTCACCTTTTTTACCTTTCATCTTTTTTATTCTTCCATGTAGTCTTCTTTTAGGCTTATAAACTTCGTTCAACGCTGCTCCAGTTTGTTGATTTCTTCCGAATAATAGGATTGGTCCAACTCTGCAAAATAGGCATTCGTTCCCGCAATCACCTCGTTTGAATAAAATCTCCTTTTTGCCACCCATTTCTTCATATTGGGGAACAAGTAGTAGTCCAAAGAAACCAAATCTGGAGAATGAGGGAGATGCGGAACGAGTTGGAACCTTAACTTCATCAATTTTGCGGCCAAATTCTCTTTCATCCATTTTTTGGAAATCACTCGACTTCTTCGATTCAAACGAACGCCAAACACATAGAAATAGATTGATCTGGCTGAAACTTGGTGTGTTCTTCCAAGAGATGCTACTAACTAAAAATAATCTCGACACTAGTGGTGCCATTTGTCCGGACTTTTCAAAACACTCTCGTACATGTGTGTGTATAAAAGCTCTATAAAATTGTATAAAATTGTATAAAATTGTATAAAAAATAATTTAGAAACGAATCTCTCTTTGTTCTATAATATATGTGTGCTAAAGAAAGACAGAAATAATAGAATTTTTTACGATTGGATTTATATTTAATTAAATATATTATATTACAGTATATTATATTATATTATAGTTTTTGGTACATATTTAGTGTGCAAAGTTTTAAATGTAAAGTTTATCTTACAAAAGCGAGCACACACATATCGTATTAAATTAATTAACGAAATTATACTCTCTACTATATGTCATATGTCTCATCTATTATCCAACTTGCCCGCCTGCGTCAAATATTCACGAAGCGTTCAACATATTAAAGAGTGGGGAAATTAACGAAATTCTCTCGTACTATGTCACGATATTACTTCTGAAGTTTTGCATTTGCTTCACTTTATTTTTCATCGCGATCCGCTACCTATTCCTGTCGCAAAAAACATAAAACGACACATGGCGCAGTCATGCCTGAACATGTTATTCGTGATACAATTTTCACTTATAGTATACGAGAGATCATATTGCAAACACACATTCTCTTTCTCTCTCTCTCTCTTTTGCTCTCTCTGAATTTTATAAATTTTTTAAAAAATTAATTTTTTTATTAATCCTGTTATATAGGAATACGTAGAAATATTTAAATATATCTGCGAAAAATGTAATTTGTTTCAGTGAAATATTTTGAACAATACAAATTTAAAATTTACAAGTTTAATATGAAATATCTTGAAGTCTAAAAATTTCATCGTTCACAACAACTTAGCTTTCGCATCACAAAATTTTTATATTAATACACACACAATCTCTTATTCAATTTTTCATTATAACATATGTAATATAAAGATAAAGTTAAATATTATAAAAATTAATAATCATTTTGATATCTCTTAAATGTTTTTTATGCTCACAAACAATATTATTCGTATGTTGTTTTTTAGAATATCCGAGGTCTTATCTTTCTCACTTGATTTTCTGTACTTTCTCATATTTATATATCTGCTGCATGTACCAATTTTATTTTGCGAAATTATATTTATGACGAGTCGAATATTCTTGTATCTGCGACAAGCGAAAGACATAAAATGAAAATATTTGTTTCAGTTACGATATACGCGGGAAACACTCGGACAAAGCATCGCATTGGCAGGATAAAGAATATCTTAATAATCGAGCGTACTTCAGGGCAGCAACGGAACCAGCGACGTTGAGCATTAATCATATACTGCAACAGGACGAAGGCGAATACAGGTGCCGAGTGGACTTTACCACAAGTCCGACTAGAAACTCCAGAATTCAACTGACAGTGATAGGTTTGTATCCTAATTAAGTATATCTCATTTTCAAATTATACATCGACAAAAATGTTGTTAAAGAATTTACATACGAATGATATGATACCAAATAATATGTTGATCATTCTCTTCTTTACTTTTAAATTTTGACAATTTAATTAACGTATGTTTTGTAAAAGAGAAATATAACAGGTATTAATGATAAGCAGTATAAAGTTATTACGTTCCCAATAATTCATAATTAATCGTAATTTTATACTTAATTTGATTTTCCATTTAATTAACAATTACTTAATCTTGCAAAAGTCAACATAATTTACATTACATTTTCAAAACTAATAACTTACTTTATAGCGATTATTGAAACTTTTATCATTTTTCAAAGTGGCAAGTTCAATCATCATGCATACAACAGGAAATTAATCCCCGTTAATATTTCAGAAACTCGAAACAAATCGATTAATGCGAATAATCGCATGAATAAATTGCTCTTTTCACATTACATATTATATATCTCGTATAATACATAATTATATAAAATATATTTGTATGTATTATAATAATAAATAATTTTATATTGCAATTATTGAAGAATGTTAAAATAATGATAAACGTTATTATCAGCCAAATTATAATTTATCGGTCATGGCGGTGAAACTTCGATAGAATTCTATTACGTACGATTCGTGAAAATACATGTTCAACGGAAAACAGTATGCAAGAAAATTCCATTAGTCAGTTTCACATAGTTGGGATAGTTAAATACGTAATCTTCATTGTGTCTGTTGGCTGTCTTGCGTTTTTCGTATTTTATATCATTCTGTCTCACATCTCTATCTATTATTCTTGACGTATGTGTTAAATTAGATTAATTTTAATTAAACGGGACATTTAAAAATTATCATTAAATCATTAATTTAATCGGTAAATCTTTTTTTATTAATGAATCTAATATATATTATATTCAATGAAAAAATATATTTCTAATATTATATTAGAAATATATTTTTATATAATATTATATTATATTATCTAATATAATATAATATTATATTATCTAATATTATTATCCTTTCATTTTTTTAACACAACTAAAGAAATAATTTCTATTGTACTTTACATTTATAGTCATTTTAAAATTGCTGACAATTCACCCTGCGACTGTCATTAGGTAATATTCAAAAGGAAAATTATTGAAAAAGGATATCGGAAAAGATATATCTCTTTATCTCGTGAGAAAAGAATTTCTCGCATAGTATATTTTTTATATTACAATTCACGTTTCTTTTGTCTTCCTTTCTCGTAATCGTTGGAGCAACACCATTTACCTGTCACAAAAGACGTTTGATCCCCGTTTAAAGCGCTGCTTCGACTATGCACTTCGAAAAGCTTAATGTATCCTGGAAAGAGACGAGATTTTTCAAAAGCAACGTCCACTTCGAAACTGGACATTTCTTTTGGCGATCGTGCAAAGAGAGAGAGCGCTTTTCCAGGAAAGAAACTTCGTTACATGATTCCTCAATTTACTGGATGTTCGTTTCACGTAGTAACCCTTCGGAAAAAACTACTAGCGCGGTCATTCCCCTGAGGAATCTTACTGTTAGATTGAGAGATAAAAGCTTTTTCGTACGAAATACTCGTCGCCGGAACGATATCATTCCACGATAAATACACGATTAATATATATTTATGTGCCTTATCTGTCTCTATATATTATATTTTAACGTCACATTTTTTCACGTAAAAGAACAAATTTGATTTTCGAGTAAGATATTCGGAATCGGGACAAAATTAGGGTTGCACGAGATACCAAGAGTCTTGATATTGTCTTGTCTTGTTTTGAATTTCAAGACAAGATCAAGACAAGATTTTTAATTAGTTTAGACAATACCAAGACTAAGACTGTCAGAATTATTAGTCTTGCCAAGATTATTGATTTTCAAAAAAACTAAAATATTTATATTTGTAAATGAAAAAAAAAGAAAACACTATATACGAATTTAAAAAAATTTTATTCAATAAAAACATTTATATTGATAAATTTAAAAACATTTAATATTAATACAATATAACATTTTTATAAATTAGAAATCAAACTCGCAAATTTTAGACATTAAAGAGCATTTCACCCAGGAATTGATGCACATTAGCTTTTAAAGATTTACTTTGTAATCTGGTTCTATTTTTTGACATAGTTAGAATTTCTATTGAGAAAAGTCTTTCTACTGGCACGGACGAGGCAGTTGAACTTAAAATGTCTCGAGCCATTTTTGAATGTGGGATAAATGTAAACCTGATTTTTTTTATCACTCTAAAATATTATATCTGCATATTCCCTTGGAAATAGTTATTAATTTCTGTTTTCCATGAAACAGTAAATGTTTTTTTATGTAAATAAATGACATTATATCGATTACATAGTAATTATAATTAAAATATAATACAATAGTAATAATTATTTCAAATTATATTCAAATTATACAAAAATTATGTTAAATATTATTTAAATAATTTTTTAATATTAGATAAAAAATTATTAATAAAATCGAGACAAGACAATACAAGACGAGATTTTTGCTACCAATATTCACTCAAGACCAAGACAAGATTTAAATTTTTGAAAATTTTCAATACCAATACAATATTTTTACAAATATTGTCTTGCCTTGGGTCTTATGCAACCCTAGACAAAATGTGCACGAGGATTGGAAGAAGAAAACAAGCTACTAGGTACAATCGGTGCATATTTCCAGTTGACAGATTGATGACTGAATTCTCTGACAAGGATCTCGCGCGAAAAGAGCTTAATTCTTGGAGTAACGCGGTTTAATTGCGGTTACTTGTCCTTGCGACGCTTATCCTGCTGCAGAAATGTATCTTCGTATTTTCGAAATATATACTCGCATCCGGAAACGATACGCTCTAACTATTTCACTTCCGTGTCACGTACCAAACATCATAATTTGCGAGGGCACATCAACTCCCGCCAATGTTGAAACTTAGGTGCTACAAATTAACTCGTTAAATTCCAGCATATCATTTGTCACGCGAAAATGTTCGTTGGAAATGTCCTGGTTCTTCCACAAAGTTCGTGAACAATGGTAACCAGTCGCCAGCGAGAGAAATGTTGCAAACACCATTTCTCAAGCTTCGTAGAAATTAATAAAATACATTACGACATATATATATCACAAAATATTGAACGAAATTATCATTGTATTAAATAAAAATTGAAAGTGAATTAATAATTTAATTATTACCGAGAAATCTCCTAGTGAATTAGTTTCGTAGCACACTAACTTTAACTTCTTTTCCGAACGGAGAACTTTTATTTTAGAACACGATAAATTGAAAGTTGATTCTTATTATTATTTTTATTTCATATGTATAACTTTGCTTCAATATATCGTTCTTGTATCGTCAAAAACTTTGTTTTCTGATTAGTTTAAATATGGATCGGAAAAAATCGCTATTGAGCTTATCGTATGGATTACGTTTAATCATTCGATATTATAATGATACATTTCCAAATGTACAAAATATACGTAGTCTCATCATATCCTCGTGTAATGGATTATAATCCGCAACACTTGCAGAGTTCAAGTATTTTGTCAATACGGATTTTGATAATTTAATTCGCGTACGTTTCGAACGGTCGTCCATATGTAAAGCTGATATTTAGCAGGTATTAAGGGAAGAGTGGCTGCGGTTAATACCAAAGGATTCGCTAATGTATCGATTATACTCGATATAAAATATAGATAGAGGATACGGATATAATCCTACTTTCAGAGGTGCTTCACTCGTCGCTATTTCCAGATGGTATCGGATAACGTTTTCACGTCGGGACTTTCTCACTTGCACGGTATCGTGACCGACGGCTTAACTCGGCGCGTCCATGTTAATCCGGTTTATTTCCTATCCGGTTCACCGCTTCAATTTGTCCTGCTCGGACACGTGTCTGTGTGTTCGTGAGAGTAATTATAAAGTAGAACGGTTGAACTTTAACTCGCTGTACGAGGTATGTAAGGTCATTATAGCCTGTAAAATTGTGTCTTTAATTACGTGTAATAATAGTAATAAGAAGAAGAAGAGAAAAAAGGCGACTCGACTATTCAAGATCTTTATCAAAAAATGTTATCAAGAAATTGTATAATATTATATTTGTATAATATACCAATTAAAAAGTGTATCGTATTATGACCGTATGCCTTCTGTGGAATCGGGTCGTTAAAGATGTTTTGCATGTACAATCCCAGCAAAAAGTAGCTGAAAATCGATATTGACAAATATAACCACACAGAAAAAAAAGAAGTATCAAATCAAAACTTATATACTTAAACTAACGCGTTCATTGTTTCGTATAAACGCAATAATTTCTAATATTCTTAGAAGAATTTAATAATTTTAAATTTCAACAATATTATCATTTTATTTTAATATTGTAATTGTCACCTCAAGAATATATAATTATTTAATTCTATTTTAAGAAAATTATAATCTTTGATTTAAAAATGTTATTCTCTATCCAACATTGTTTCTTTTCCATTCAAGAAAATTAAATCTTAAAAATCATGAGAATATATATTTTTCTCGATTGAACTATATAAAATGGCTTCATTCAAATAAGCAATTATTCAAGCAATTATATTTTTCTTAAATTAACGCGATATAATCTCATTTCAAGATTTCCATGTTAAAACAAAATATACTTTTAAATTAAGAATGTCCTTTTTTTCTGTGCACTTTTGGTGTATTTTGAGTAAGAAATTGTGTGGAATATTACAATTTGATCTACAGTGCAGAGATGTATTTTTTAATATTTATTCCGTTTTTACTGAAATAAGGTAAATGGCTATAACTTCGTCAGCGGATATAATTTTGTCAAGCATTCTTAAAATTAAATAAATTAAGCAATCTCGCGTATATCGACTATATTTCCCGATTTGAAATGATGTTCAAATTGTTTCAAATACATATGTTTCTAAACATATGTAAGGACATTGTGTCAATAATGTCACAATTTTCATTAAATTCTCAATATTTTGAAAATAGGTACAAAACATTCTTAATCGAAATGATTAACTTTTGGCAAAGAATTTCGCCTTGTGACAGATACATGATTAACTTCATTGAATTATATTTAAACCAGTTAGTACTTGTATAATATTATTTGACCAAATATTTCCTCTGTATCTGAACTTTTGCAAATTTTAAATAAATTCTGAATATTATTTCCATGTTTTTGTCATTTGAATCGACGTGGTTATACGTTTCCCATAAGAACACATGCTAATTCGGTACAAATTAAAATCCTTATAACTTGTGAACGCTTTAGTGAATCGATTTAAAAATTGTACTGAAGATTCTAAACATATGTAAGAACATTCTGTACAATTTTCATTAAATTCTAAGTATTTTGAAAATAGGTACAAAACATCCTTAATCGAAATAATTAACTTTTGGCAGAGAATTTTGCCTTGTGACAGATACATGGCTAACTTCATTGAATTATATTTAATATCTTTTTAACCAGTTAGTATTTGTATAATATTATTTGACCAAATATTTCCTCCTTATCTAAACTTTTGCAAATTTTCAACAAATTCTGAATAATATTTCCATGTGTTTTTGTCATTTGAATCGACGTGGTTATACGTTTCCCATAAAAACACATGCTAATTCGGTGCAAATTAAAATCCTTATAACTTGTGAACGCTTTAGTGAATCGATTTAAAAATTGTACTGAAGATTCTAAACATATGTAAGGACATTCTATACAATTTTCATTAAATTCTCAATATTTTGAAAATAGATACAAAGCATCCTTAACGATCGATTCCGTCCGAGATCTCGTTCACCATCGTGAATTTTAAGGGCAGTCCGTTTCATTTGGACGGACATCCGACATCCCGACATCCCGACCGCGACTGCAGCCTATCTTCGAGGCAATACGCCCGCTACTCACCTTCTGACGTTCCGACACGCCGCTATTTCCGATATTCAATTGCCAGCGTTTACACGCCACGATAGGCCCATACCCCAGTCGCACGTCGGAGCTATACAAGCTATACACGATCAACGATCCCCGCATGATCTCCCCCTTACGTGCCCTTTTGATACCTCGCGGCGCATTGTTTCCTTGCACGCAAAATGCTTTATTGCGCGCGCGATGGGTGTACCGAATTACACCGACATAATAAGAGGTTGCAAATTATCTTGAAAGCATCGCAGCTGATATCAATTTGAAAGGCATCCCTCGCTCGTGTAAAGCCTGAATGATGGGTTAGAGAAACGCGTGATATAAATAAAAGTTTCATATTAATTAATATATATATATTAATTTTCACTTACATGGCATGTAGGGTGTATCTCTCGAAAGATGTTCATCTTCTCTCTTTTTTTCGCATTATACCCCGTCTCTCGAATTCGAGTGTTCACCAAACTACTCCACGAAAGCCGCGAATGGCCTTCGTGTTGGCTCGCTCGCTCGAGTACGAGTTTCAAGCGGTTACCTGTAACACCTGTACACCTGCTTGTCCGACTATTCGTGCGGTGTTCGTGGCACGAGTATCGTGAATTACTCCTCCCCGGACGCCGCTGACTTACATGGAAAGTTTCCTATCTGCGCTTAAATAGCTCGTAGCGATGTCAGGGGCGGTCAAACTCGAAACCACTCGAACGATTGGCTGCGCCAACTGTATCTGTATAATCGCATGCTATAGCAAACGTATAAGCGTGTCAAAAATTTTGAAGCAAATATATTCCTTACGTTATTTTTTGCGTCGCGATGCGGAAAACTTGAGAAAGTAGTGCGATTAAATATTTATCAAGTTATCACATTAGTTAATTAGTTTTTACATTAGTAATTATATAATGCTATATATCGCACGACTAATATATGTCACGCTACAAAAAAAGATGGTATCACTAAAAATACGAGTATAATGACATAAAGAAGATATATTAAAATCGTATAATTTTATGAAACTCCGAATATATTTTATCCTTGACACATGTGATCGAAAAGTAAAAAATTTAGGGTTGTACAAGACCCAAGACAAGACAATATTCGTAAAAATATTGTATTGGTATTGAAAATTTTCAAAAATTTAAATCTTGTCTTGATCTTGAGTGAATATTGGTAGCAAAAATCTCGTCTTGTATTGTCTTGTCTCGATTTTATTAACAATTTTTTATCTAATATTAAAAAATTATTTAAATAATATTTAACATAATTTTTGTAATATAATTTGAATTAATTATTACTATTGTATTATATTTTAATTATAATTATTACTATGTAATCGATATAAATGTCGTCTATTTACATAAGAAAATTTACTGTTTCATGAAAAACAGAAATTAATAATTATTTACAGGCTCCAAGGGAATGTACAGATAAATATTTTGGAGTGATAAAAAATCAGGTTCATATTTATCCCACATTGTCAAAAATGGCTCGAGACATTTTAAGTTCAACTGCCTCGTCCGTGCGAGTAGAAAGACTTTTCTCAATAGAAACTCTGACTATGTCAAAAAATAGAACCAGATTACAAAGTAAATCTTTAAAAGCACTAATGTGCATCAATTTCTGGGTGAAATATTCTTTAATGTCTAAAATTTGCGAGTTTGATTTCTAATTTATAAAAATGTTATATTGTATTAATATTAAATGTTTTTAAATTTATCAATATAAATGTTTTTATTTAATAAAATTTTTTTAAATTCGTATATAGTGATTTTTTTCATTTACAAATATAAATATTTTAGTTTTTTTAAGAACCAATAATCTTGACAAGACTAATAATCTTGACAGTCTTAGTCTTGATATTGTCTTGATAACTAATTAAAAATCTTGTCTTGATCTTGTCTTGAAATTCAAGACAAGACAAGACAATATCAAGACTAATCTTGTCTCGTGCAGTCCTAAAAAATTCGTGTTAAACGAATGTATTTATAAATTCCGTTCTTTAAGAATCATTGAACACCTAAAATAATTTGTCCTTATTACGCATTGTTTGAACGTGACATTTTATCTCACCTTTTTTTCTTCTTGTTACAGTACCACCGCAGAAACCGAATATTATCGACGAACAGGGAAATGCCGTCACGACGGTCGCCGGACCTTACGAAGAAGGCGGAGACATGAGACTGCATTGCTACGTTTGGGGGGGTAAGTCCTACTTTCTATAACGAGAAACAGGTTGAATAAAAATACACCCGATTATTTTCTTTCAAAATCGTCTTAAAAGTGGCGTGAATACGCCGCGAATTGATAAAATAATTGATACGAGCGATGGAAATACGCTTTTTTGGTTCAATAACATTATCTCGCTCTCGTATATATAACAACCGCGATCCAGTTTATCCTATAAAACGGAATCGTGTTCTTCTTAGTTGTAACGCCTAATTAATGTCTCATACAATAGCTTAATATTATGGATAAAAGACATTTTTCGAAACCTTGACGTCATGAAATTTATTAAAGATATTATTCAGATATTTATTCCAGATATTTATTTCAGATATTTATTCCAGATTCAGCGATTTATTCTCTTTTCGTTGCATGTCCTTATTTAATTTTTATTATATCGGATGATTCTCTCTCTGATATTGCATAATTATCATAATAGCTCATTTACCATTGTATGTCACGAAATTCTGAATCCTCGTGAAGGACAATAATCCGGATATCCTCATTGTTTAGATACTTTATCATTGTTTAGATTTTCCTTTATCTTCCGCGTAAATACGCGGAATTATAGGAGGTACCATTACCCAGATTGTTAAACGCTTCGACAAAGCGTCCAGTGCTTTAGCGATAGTCATAGTGCATGCATTCGCGCTCAACGTTCCCCTTTATTCTATTACATTTTAATATCCGGACGCGCGCCGATGTGCCGGCAAGACTAGGGGCAATAACGATAATAAATTTATTTTTATTACCTCGCATGCCGCCACCCGAGGGATACGACAGAGCTATACAACTCTTATCCACTCTACCGCTGCCTACAATTCCATTCTCCTCCTACAACTGCCCCCCTCTCTCTCTCTCTCTCTCTCCCTTCGCTCGTTGCCGCATGTTTTTCTGCTTGTCCCTTCTAAACGAAAATAGGTCCGGTAAAAAATAATGAGGTCGCTCCGACACATAAGCTAGACCGCCTCGTCGACTCGCCGCCTCCCTTTAACGGGATATTCACCCTCGGGGAATTATCCGCACGCAACGACCATTATGAATTATGAATTAACGCGTATCGCGAAGCCTATACTCGATGTAGAGTATCTATACGCATGGCGACCGTTCGCGAAGAAATGGTGAAGGAGAAACGTGCAGGGGAGACAGCAGGGAAAGGGGTGAACGATACATTGCTCCGATAGTGTTGCAGATATGCCGAAATATTGCAGATAGTTTTTGTGTCGAAAAGTATTACAGTCTCTAAGCTCTCATGAATATTTTCGAGAGCTACATATTAAGAATGTATTGGACGGTCTGTCTGAAAAGTTAATCCAAAGTATCAAGAAATTAAAGTTGGGCAGAATACGAATTCTAATTGATGAAAAATATTGAATACAAGTTAAATTAAGAATGGTTCGCCGCCTAGTGGCAAGCAAAGAAATTAATGTAACAAGAAATTTTATAGATCCAACCAGAAAATACCAAATTCTTATAATAAAATCTATTAAACGTTCTAGTTATAAAAAATCGCCAGTTATAAAAACTCGCCAGCACCAAGTCGTCTAAAATTTTTTTCATCTAATTTCAAAAATCTGTTTAATATTCTGAATTCCAACAAGATTATTGGAAAAATTCAATCCAGATTATTGAATAAATTATTTTAAATTCAATTTGTTAGAAATTAAACTGATAAACAGTGATGCAAGAAGAGAATGCAGCTCAAACGCACACAATCAGAGAGTTAGCGTCCTCTTTCTGGCACTACTGCTTGTAAGAGAAAAAAAATATACTTTGGATTTAAAGATGTATTGGATGGACCATCTGTCTGAAAAGTTAATCCAAAGTATCAAAAAATTAAAGTTGGCAGAATACGAATTCTAATTGATGAAAAATTTTTTAAAAATCACGAAATTATACTTCAAAGTATTCTTTAATATAAATAGGTCTTAATTTCCAAGAAAATGTTGCCATGTTTTATTATCAATATTGCGTCAAACCGATAATCGCAGTTATTTTTTAATAATAATTTCAAAACGAGCAAGTAATCATTTGAAAACTTTGTGGGAACATTTTTACATGTAAGCAGTAAATCATTTGAAAACTTTGTGGGAACATTTTTACATGTATGAAAAATATAATATTACAAAATGAAATTTTTATCATTGTTTTTTTATAGTTTGTGAATAATTGATTACCTGTCTCTTGAACGTTTACATAAGATCCTATGTTAAAATCGCAAAATTCAAAAATTAATAATTTTGAAAGGAGCAAGTAAAAAAATAATTTATGACGATTTAGAATGTTATTAAGAATGTTAAATTAAAAATTCACGACGATCTCATTGATTGTAATATATCTCCAATACATCCTTAAAAAGCTTAAAGCTAAATATATAAATGACAAATACATCGTTTGCCCCATTTATTCTTTCACGTTCCAAATTTATGGAAAATGATATTGTGAAAGATATTATTCTGTACTTTTAGCCAGATTATTTTCGTTTAATTAAGTTTTTAATTAACAATATGTTTTTCAGAAACTTGCAATATTCGATATGATAATTAATTTAAAATGGAAAACATTTAAAATACGGAAATCCCTAAAGATATCATAATTAATTTTATTTTTTTGCGTCTAATTGTAATATATCCATTGTGACTGCAGAAAACCAAAGGTAGTATTTCTATTTCTATTTAAAACGCGCGGTATATCTTTAATTAATGCATCATTATTAATATATCTATCGTTGTTGCGAAGAATGTGAGATAGATAAAAATAATAAATAAAGTTAAAAATCGTATTCTTCAAATTTCTTTCAATACTAAATTCCCTATCGCTCGTATTTTCTTCTAAACTGATAAATAAATTTTACGACATTTCTTCTCAGGTCACCCCCAACCTAAAGTGAGATGGTGGCGCGGAGAGACGCTTTTAGATTCTAAGGATGAATCGGGGGATTCCCTTGATGTTCGTAGAAACACGCTTATCGTCAGCGAATTGTCAAGAGCGGATCTTCACGCGGTGTTCGAATGTCAAGCATCCAACAACAACATCAGTCAACCCGTGTCAATGTCGGTAGCTATTGAAATGCATCGTAAGTATTACATTTTTTTCCACGAGTATTTCTCTCTGTAAATTGAAAACCGATTTTGCCTCGATGCGCTACTTCTTGACACGCAGCTTTTTCCCGAATAAATTTACGTAAATAACACAGGCCTGCGAGGTTTTTCTTTTTAAGATGCAATAATGATTTCCGACGTAATTTTGTGAGCTGAATTCGAATCTGGCCGTCGAATTTGCACGTCACGTTTTTGAGTAATTTGTAATTGTATAGCTCAAAAATCGCTATTTTGACCAATTTCATGAATTTATTGCGAGGAAACCAAATTTTTTGAAATATTTCTGTTAATGGCATAGTATAATACTCACTTTCGCCTTTCAAATCCACTTTCGATTACCGCCGCACGATTTTTCTTCGCTGAGATATATAAGTATGACGTTGTAAGAAAATTTACGTTAAAGAAAATTTATACATCAATATGGTAGTTAGACATCAATATGGTAGATCCATGATGTTGAAAGTTGAAAAGACTGACATATGTTAGGTTCGGTTGTCCAAAAAAGTATTGTAAAGAAATATCTAATACAGTTGTTACACATTTTGATAAATTTTTCTAAATTTTATGCCTTCTTATTGTGATTCTATTCACCATATTGGATGCGCCATTTTTAATTTCAAAAGGTGACGGAAGGTTTAAAAATGTATATTTTTATCCTAATTGGATTATTAGATTCCTATGCATGACCAGTCTTGTATATCTGAGTGAAAAAAAATCGTGCGGCGGTAATCGAAAGTGGATTCGAAAGATGAAGGTAAGTACTATACGATGCCATTGACAGAAATATTTTAAAAAATTTGCTTTACTCTCAATAAATTCGTGAAATTGGCTAAAATAGCGATTTTTGTGTTATTCAACTACAAATAACTCAAAAACCTGTTGTGCTACGCAAATTCGGTGGCCAGATTCGGATTCAGACACAAAATTACGTCAAAAATCACAATTGCATCTTAAAAAGAAATTTTAACTCCCTTTTTTGCAGGCCTGTGTAATAATATCATAATGTGCATAAAGAGAAAAAGTATAAAGTGTTTACATTATTAAATTACAAAATATTAAGAATGCTCTTCTTGTAAAGCGCAAAGCTTGAGGCACAGATAACTGAAACTCGTAAAGCTTCGTAGTTCCATTGTTGCACCGTAGTTACAAAGTGTAACACCGCCCGCGGTCTCTCAGGAGGATAAATCCAAAGGGTACAATCGATCCATGCCCGCTTCTCTTTCCCTCTGTGAATCGGCGTAAAAGGAATGCATTTGCGAATTGTACCAAAGGGAAAATCTCTGCGTTGTCGAGTAAACGAAGCTGAATACCGAAGCGGGAAAGTATTTAACCCGGCCTCTCGGCCCGGCCCGGATCCGCACAATCCCGTTTATCCCGCAGCCCACGTGCTTCCGATTTCTTCTTTCTCCCACGGTATTTCGCGTTTCCGTTCTCCCAGTTTCGGATCACGAGGAAGAATTGCCGGGCAATATTAAAACTTTGGTCGATGACAGATGTAATCAACTTGATTTTTACACGATCGTAATTTTCGGTTTCATTTCGATTGTGCGAATCTTTGCGATTGTCTCTACAATAAACATTAATATTTTTGCAGTCGTATGTAGTGGATTTCGCATTTGGCATGGGAGTGATAAAAGGAGAGGAAAAAATTATTTTTACACAAGTCTCTTGAAAAATTATCGCGAGATTCCAAAGCCAGGACGGGGCTTCTTTTATTTCTTTAATGTATAATGTATTTTATATTAATTGAAAGATATCAAAAAATTTTTACAGTACAATGTAGCCATTCTGCCGATGTGGATAAAATTTTTATTCCATGATGATTTTATATAAAAGTGTATATGTGTCATTCAACACACTTATTCAACCTTTTCTTTAACTAATCTCTCGAGCGAAATTTATTCTACTGGAAATTAATTTGGAGCTCAGTTATGAAAATATTTAACATTGAAAATTGAAGAAGAGCGAAAAAATTATCTTTGAATTTCCGTTAAGAAAAATTCGATCTATTTGTCAAGAGTATGTACATAGTGAATAAGAGTGTCTAACATATTTGTATCAAATTATACAAATACTCTGTATAATTTAACATCAGTTTGAATATATCATGCAATTTATATACAATGTAACATACATGTAATGATATTCTTGCATGAGAGTAATCTAAATTGAGATCCAGCCCCGCAATTTCCGGGAGACGACATGCAATTGATCCGTCGACAGAATAACAAACCGTGCGTTGTATTACCAATATTTATAACAAATACCTCAATTCTCCTGCGAAATGGCGTATCCAAGTATCGTTCGACGACGCAATTTGTCTGGAAGTTATTCGGGATAGATGAAATGCATTCCTCGACGAAATATGAGGGAGATAGAATGAAGGAAGGAAAAGAAAAAAAAGGACGGTGAAAAGGACGAAAAGAAAGGAAGTAGGGATGGGCGACCTTGAATCGATCTTTTGAAGAATCGATTCTTTTATATCCGATTCTCGATTTTTTAGATCGATCTTACATCATCGATTAATCCAGTGAATCGATTCTTAAGATTAGAGATCAATTCTAAAAAATAAAAGTATAAAATTCATATTACGTCTTGATTTTTCGTATATGTGTGCATAGTATTTATACAAATTTAGTTGAAAGGAAATTTAGTCTTTACTTTAAAGCCGGGTCTACAATAGGTAATTTAAGCTCTAAGCCTTAAGAAATTGACCAATCAGAGTCAAATATGAAAAGAATATTTGAAAGAATACTCGAGTGTGATTGGTCAATTTCTTAAGACTTAAGGCTTAAATTATCTATTGTAGACCCGGTCTTAATCCACAATTTTTCTTTATATGATGTAAGGAATTGTAAAAAATTAACCAATCGCAGTTGAATGTGAGAAGAATAATTGAATACGATTGGAAATATTTAATATTTTGTAAAATTAAATAAAGAGATCGATTTCTGATTGATCGATTCTTTAACAGTCGATTTTTTGGGGAATCGATTTTTAAGTCTCCGATCTAGATCGATCCAAAAAATCGATTTTTTTGGAAAAATCGCCCATCCTTAAAAGGAAGCGATGGAGAAAGTAAAGCGAAATAAAATCGAAGAGGGCAATGCACACCGAGGAGAGAGTAGAAACGCATAATGTTCCTCGGCAAGACGGCGAACTGCGAGCTCGATTTCGGAAGCTTTCGGATTTTTATTAAATTCCAACAGAGAGGGGATTCTTCTTTCGGGTCAGCCGAGGTCGCGCGAAAAGTCATTGCGGTTTCCCTGACTTTATCACGCTCCCGCGGAGTGCATCTGAAATTGGTTCGCCCCATTTCGCCGATGCTCATCGACAGTGTCACGATCTTATTATTATCTTCTCAGAATCGAATATTCCTCCCTTTCCTCGCGACGCCTCCGCGGAAAGCTACTAATGCTCACAAAGAAAATTAATAGTTTTAGTGGAAAAAGCTTTTTGCCGGAACATCTACGAATGCGTAAGTCTTTAGAAAAAAGACATAATTACATCTCTTATAATGTAATTCGCGAGAAAAATCTCTTTTTGCCGTAAAAGAAAAAAAACATATTTTGCGTTAAAAAAAAATCAAACTTTTGGCTTTTCGATCAAAGTGAAGATGATTAAATTACCGTCAATTTAAAGACTAGCGATTAGAAAATTAATAGTTTTAGTGGAAAAAGCTTTTTGCCGGAACATCTACGAATGCGTAAATCTTTAGAGAAAAGACATAATTACATCTCTTATGATGCAATTCGCGAGAAAAATCTCTTTTTGCTGTAAAAGAAAAAAAACCATTTTTTTTGCGTTAAAAAAAATCAAACTTTTGGCTTTTCGATCGAAGTTAAGACGATTAAATTATCGTCAATTTAAAGACTAGAGACTATAAAAACACAAACGCGGACTATTAGCGTTGATACGTATTCACGATAGGATGACCAATAAAAAGATTGGCAGACACTTTTTTCGGCAAAGTGATAATGCATGCTCTCTCGCGCGGAAAAAACGCGATTTTCATTGGGAGAATGGAATTTACGAGATCAGGCGAAGTCGGATATGTCGACGGACATCGATTTCGTTCGGGAAATTATCGAAAATCCATCTTTCTTTTTGCTCGCATCCGAATCTCCTTTATTGGACGCGTGCACTTAATGGCGACAACTGCGACGAACGATGAAGAACAGCGAATGTCCCGTAAGCCCCGTCCAATTATTATCTCATCATATATCTACCTTTAGCGCGTCTACGAGCAAACATTCGGGAGAGCGTGGGTGGTCGTTCAATTAAACTCACGGAGACCTAATTTTCATAGCGCGCGTGCGTGCGTGTACGCTTTATAATTTCACATCGAAATATGCGAGTAATGGTGCGTTAGCCATGTGCCAGACGCACATTTTTCACGATATATTAGCAGAATTTTTATTGTGAATTTTTAAATTTTATTGTGAATTTTACAGTGAATTTTTATTGTTGGCGCACCTGCCGAACAATGCGTACTCTCGACGATAAATGAGGAAGGAACCCGACAATGTAATCGATAAGACGGGCATTTTCTCTTCCTCGGCTCGTTGCGAAAGACGTTAAAAAATGAACGACGAACTCGTGAACTATAATGTTGATAGCTCTTTCTCGCGAATCAATTCTGTAGAATATAACGATCAACGAGCATCGATAAATGTCACTGCAGATTGTTGCATACCGTGTCTTAATGTTGATTACAAGAAATTGCGTACAGAGTACGCACTTTGCTCCTTTTCTTTTTCTCTTATTCTTTTTCCCTTTTATTGTTCCTCTCTCTTTTGCCTTTCTCTCCCTCCTCCCACCTCTCTCTTTTTGGCGTAAAAACTCAGCACCCGTATCTTTTGCCGTATATCCGTTATGACCGAGCGATGCATACTCGTAAAAATATAAAGGGACGATGGTAAAAACGTGAGAACGCGCGAGCGCTTTTAGCGAAGTGCGGGTCTTATATAGCTTG